TGCAGCTCTAAATAAGACAACAGAATTAATGTGGAAAAGTTCAATTTCTGTTGCCCTTGTGTATACACTGGCATTCATTAGATGGTCCCATACATTCATTAGGCAATGGGTGGTGGTCGTGTTTAGACTTTTTTCCAGCCAAATGTAGCTTTTCTTATATCACAACAACTACGTACACCTTCATTAAAACCAAACCTTTTTTTTTTATTACATAAAAATTTCCCTTTGCAGAACTGTACTTCTATGGGTGGATGATGTCTGTGGTATATATATATGTACTGGATGCTGACAAAAATCAAAATGCTGCAAGACATGATCTTAATTTGGGGAAATTTGACAATACAGTACATCTCTAATTAGACTCAGAACTACCCAGTGTGTGTGATCTGGTGGTCCAAAGGATAACCAATCTCCTTCACTAAGTCACCAGGGTTTGACTTAGGCTGTCTCTAGGATTTCTTGTTTCACACAAGGCCTTTTGTGCTCTCACTCAGGACAAAACTTGGGAGATATAATGTAATTTCACGTTTTCTGCTCTAACAATTAAAAATAATAAAGGATACCAAAATTCTTGCAAAACAGTGTGGAAGGTTGAAGTTAAGGGCTTAACTTTAAATTCAGTAAGATATTAAAAAAAAGTAATTGTGAAATCTGCCATTAAATCTCAACGCAAATATTCTGATTATTTTTCAAATAAGTAAAAGCCATGTCAGAACTTATCCATATTCAGAAATATCTTCTAAAATGTGAGATGAATTTTCTAAAATGTTGTCCTTTCTACAGATTCCTTTAGCTTTGGTGGTGCTTCACCCTTATCTACCAAAACCTGAAAGTGCTGAGAAGCCATGAATGGTAGCAGGTAAAACAGAATAATGATATATCATATACTACGGATATAGTTTTATTTGCAAGAACAGGGGTAACAGGCTTCCCCAAAGGAGGAATCCGACAGTTTTTGTTTACCAGTAGATAAAAGCATATAAGACTACTTTTAAGCAGCCAATCAATACTAAAGGCAGGCTTTAAATGAAATATCATTCTATTGCATTATCATGACCCTCTTATGAGACACGTTATATCAGATGCCATTTGTCAAATTCACACCAGACCATATTATGGTTCACAACCATTTGGTTCTCAAGAGATATTGTATTTACTGCATAATAAACAAATGCCGGAAGGAGTGATTGTTGATTATTTCCTAATGCATGAAACTCAGTTATCATTAATATCTATTTATTCAAGCATCTTAATCTCTAAATTGAAGCAATTTATTATTAACTAATAAATTGTTGAAATCTTTCACAGTTAAATTTTGACATCTTTATAATTTTTTTTTTTCAAATATCCAAATGAATATAAAATGACTTCACTCCCTTTAACTGTGATTGATATTACAAGCATCAACTTGATACAGACTACAATTCACATGTTCCAGTTGCCCTCCATGAAGCAATGTTAAATCCCTCTACATGCAAGACATCACTCATCCTACAGAAATGTCCTTATTTGATCAGAGTGCTAAACTGTTACTGGGGGCTAAACAAAAACATCAAACAACAGCACAAGAAACAAGTATTGATTTTTCTCAAAAACAAAATTTCAAGAGAGCATTTTAGATAGAATTACCTGTTTTCTTCAACAATGAGGTGATAAATTGATGTCAAAAAATGTAGCTGAAAGAAGACTGCATTTTAAGACCTGATCACAAAGATGATAATCAGGTGACCTTGAACATTTAACTTGATAATGAAACTGTGAGACTGTCATCTAATGGGCTAGTCATCAATCATCCCAGTAAAAATCTGCCAACGAGACCAACACAGTGAACAAATCTCCTCAATCTGTTTGTGCCATGTGCTTGTCTCAATATTTAATCTTTTCTGTTTATCTAATAACAAAATTATTACTTCTTGTTCGAAAATGTTGATTATTTAATCTGGTATATAAATATTCATTATCAAAATGTGACAAGCATTTAATATCAAGTCCCATTTGTGAGAAGAAAATGTGATATTAACCATAAAGTGATATTAACCAATGTGATATTAAGTGATTTTCACTGTATCTGAACTTAATTATGACACATGCAAAACCAAACCCACACCATAGTGGAAGTCAAATGTATTTTAAGAATGTTTGCAACCAGTCTCCACTTTACTCATGTCAAAATAGACTTCATTTCAGCTTACCAGCATAAGAATTCTTCCAAGAATAGATAAGATTTTCAGGTGTCAGTTTCATATAAAAAATATCAAATATAGATTATTTTAATCCTGTTTTACATGCTTTAAAAATGTTATCATTGTCACTTTTCATGAATGAAAAAAGAGAGAGAATGAAAAATTCATTCATTTTTACAGACATGTACACTAATGGAAAGTTGATATCTACACAGACATACATGTATATTGTGACATCGAACATATAAACTATTATCAGCTCCTTACCCATCACAACACAAACAGTATTTTATAGTCTCTTCAAAACAGGAAACAGAAATGTATATCATTGAATTCTATCTATAGCTATCATCTTCCTTCAGACATGTCTATATTACCTACTGAATGTTTGGAAGTGTCTCAGAGAGAAATTCAACAGGTAAATAGATAGTTTGGTCAAAACAAAACTTTCTTTTATGACCTAGACAAAAGGAAGTTGGCAGCACTATGCTAAATCAATGGGATCTGGCCTTGGAACTACTTGATAAGCCCGCTATTCCACAACAGTCTCTGTAAATGTCAGCCTCAAATTTACATGTCAAGAGAAATTCCATTTCAGCAAAGTGGTGCCAGCTAGCACTGTCGAACACCTTGATGGGGTGGTGTGTTAATATTGTGTTGCCAAAGTCATATGGTCTAGCAGTCCAGCATTATTTGTCTTATTTTGTCATTAAACTGGACCCAAGGTCAACTAACCTGCAAAGAGTATGACCTACATTGTTCCAAAGGCACAGGAGTCACATCAGACAGAAAGCTGAGGCCACACAAAAATCTAGACTTAGGTCCAATGAACTGGGATCAGACCTGTCTTTAATGCACTATGAGATAACGCCAAATCAAGGAATGAGGACATATTTACGGCCTTCAGCACAAGCCACACAATTACTGTGAATTGCTGAGAAACATTGGTAGTTAGGTATTTAGGGACATAGAGACTAGAAGGCAACAGACAAAATGTAACGAAGGTTATTGTAGTGAACACAGCTAACCTATTTTGATATTTACAACTCAGTGAAGTCCAACCAACAGTTGTGATCAGCACTGAAGCAATATTTCTGTATTTGTCTGAGCTATAACCATTACATTTAACTATACACATGAATTAGGTACACAATATATTATAATATCAATTAAAACTGCACACAGGTTTACACATAAGGTTTAGGTTAAACAGCAGTATTTGAACAAATGACTGTCAGGTATGAGGAGGCCCCAGTTTCAGGAAAATAACAAAGCATGTTTTCATCATCTTATTTGAAGATACTCAATCAGAAAAAATGTTAAAATATGTAACATTATTTTCCATTGGTGGTTCTCAAATTAAAGAACAAGAATGTACTTTAGAGTTCTTGTTAAAATATGTAACATTATTTTCCATTGGTGGTTCTCAAATTAAAGAACAAGAATGTACTTTAGAGTTCTTGTGAAAATGGGGTCATGACAATTATTTTGCGCATCACAGAACCTTACTTGAGTTAGTGGAGTAATTTTTTTTTTGGTTATCGAAATAAAACTTGTAAAATAAATAAAATGAAGAAAGACTTGGAAGACATGCTGGTGTCGTGTCTTCAGTTTAAAAGTACAGAACTCTGATTGGATTGTTACACCCACCTGTGTGTAACTATAGCAACCATAGCGACCAAATACATGCCCTTTGTAATGAGAAGTTGACTTCAGATTTCATTTAAACAGGAAATGAAATTTTACAAAATTTATTTTTTATATTTTGGTTTGATATGAGGGCATAAAACAGTAGACTAATTGAGTTCCCTTCTTTACTTAAAAAAACACCAGAGATGTTCATATAGTGGCATTGTCTTGAATTACATTTGGATAGGATGGTTTAAGTGATGTCAAATGGCTTTAAATAAATTGAAACTGTGACCCATTGTGCTATCAATTTTATTATAATACAGATTTGTATTTAATCCGATGAAGATAAGAGGGTGAGTTAGTAAAAGAACTAGTGTGACCCTATCCATGCACAGTGGGGTTACATAATATACATGATATAACAGGTGTTGAATTGTTGACAACATAATAATGATACATGTTGTAGGATATATTTTCACAATACTTAAGATTCATATGTGTGTGATGAGTATGAGGAATGCAGAAAAAAAAAACAGAAATCTCTAAGCTTTACCTACAAATCATAATGACAATTCACATTATGCATATGACAAGAAAACTCCAACAGTTCAAAGGTTAAGAATTTGTTTTGTTACACAAACTAGAGGTGTAATTATAACCAAATACAAGCAGACTAAACCTATAGTATCACTCAATACTGCCGCACAGTGCAGAGGCAGGCCACACTGCCAAGAGAGAAAAGACAAGAGCAGACTAGAAGAGTACACATCTAATCACCCAATCTCCTTCTACTTAATATACTTACTATCGATTAGCGCCTTTAAGTCTTAGCATATTGGAAATTAAAATATAAATTTAAATATTTTACTAATTTCAGTCATTTAAGTTAGTTTATAGCAATAGGAAAGCCACAGGTGAAAAGCAAGCAGATGATATACTGACATCAATGATGGGTATGGTTATCTAATTGTTACAAATGAAGTACTGCCTCATCTTCATCTATTCTTCCACATCCCAGAACCAATAAAAAGGTTCCACTTACATAAAATCAGATTTCTATGTGAAATAATTTATGAACAACTAATATTTACAATTTCTCTAAAGACAATATATTGGTTGAGATGTTCTAATGGAAAATATCATTCTGCATCTTTTGATCAGACAAAATAAAAACTTGGTACCTACCTTGACAACCCCTGGCAATGGATGAAAACACTTTTATAGAATCATTGAGGATGTCTGGGCGTGGTCCGTTAAGATCTAGTGAGGCGAGACAGCCCTGGAATCCATGTCGAGAGGAGATCAGTTTTGGGAGGGAGTTGTACATCGTCTTACTGACACCTCCCACATACAGCATCCCCTCCAGGTTAAAGTGTAGTGTGTCAGACCCATGCATGCTCTCCACAGTAGGGTGCTGGTCGTCCACACGGATTGTTTGTTTGTCCATCACTGGACGAAGCAGTCGCACATCATGCCATTCATTGTCATTGAGACGGTTGATGGTATTGACAACAACCCGCTTGGCCCCAGCTCCTGTGTTGTAAACATAGTGAAGATAACCTCCCTGCAATTCAAATGCTAAAAAGTCTTGTCCCCTCCCCCCATTGTACATGATCAAACCATTTGGCTCTGTTGTCTTGAACTTGAAATAAACAGAAAACTCTAGGTAGGCACTTAGTTTTTCCAGTTGAGCATAAGCTTCCTTAGACTTGAAAGTCACAGGGTTCCTAAGCATTGGTTCATCAGTCAGGAAACGTGCCGTGGTCTCAATGTTCTGGATGTCCTGTGATTTCGCCATCTCGAAGAAGTGGTTTCCATTAAAGATGAACTGCTGCATGGATCCTATGAAGCCACTATATTGTCGGAGTCTGTTGTCATCCTGTACCATACGACCAACTTCCATACGCCGTAAATTCAACGAACGGGAATTTCTTGGAAGAGTATCTGAAGGATTTCAAGAAAAAAAGGTGTCTAAAACATCGACAGTAACATAATTTTCTCTTAGATTTCAAACAATGATGATTCAAGAGTAATGATGTATTGAAGAAATATTATTGTAATACATGGTTGGGAAAACCTGTGGCTTGTTGATAATTAAACACATTAAATAAAAACATGTCAAAACTCATGCATTGAGATACGTTATTTTCATGTGATGGTCTCATAAATTATGATGTTAACAGAAAAATAGCTGCTGAAGAAAAAAGGGTAAAATAAGCGTGATTTGACTTAACTTGTATACAATTGTTATCATTAGTAAAATTTTACTGGTTATTTTTTTTCTGTTCTTTTCTTTTCCTGTCATTAATTTTGAATAAAAAGAATATTTTCCAATTATTTTTGAGTATATACATTAAGTTTTTCTCACTTTTAACCATGGAATTCAGAAATGCTTTCCCATTTTTTTAAAAGTATGATATTTAGAAATAAACTATGATACAATGTACATACATTTTACCCTATGTCAAACACTATAAATTTTACTGCCATTGTAATGCAAGTGACATGTCAGCCTGCTGGATCACCCTTATCTCAATTAGATCTCAGAATGTGTGGGGCGAGGAACCCTTAATGTGACTCAACATGAAACAATACTCAGTACATAGTTTTATAGGAGACTAACCTCATTCTTGATAATCTACATGAAAAATACATATATATATATATATTGTACACTGCTGATCACAGGCAAGATGGATGTATGTTCATAGTCTCCAAAGATATAACATCACTATGCATATTTCATGAAAATAGAACCTTTCATACCTTTGCATAGCAGCTTGTCAGGTTTTAGAAACTAATAACATTTTGTTTGTCTATTTTTGGCTCCTCACCAAAGTTGGAGTCCAAGAGAAACGTGCGGGGCAGATTCCAGCCAAGCCAAAGTCAAAAGCAACAAGGTCAAACACAATTATACCACCGTTGAGTGAATGCTTTAAGCATCAAGCAAGAGATCACACAGAAACGATTTCTCACAGGTAAGGAGGCTAACTGTCTCTCCTACAGTTATTGTAATGCTTCTACCATATACACAGGCTATTATGCAGCCAATACTTAAGTAATGCACTACAGTTTACAGAAGAAATAACAGGCACTACCATGCATAGACAAAATTTAATGAAGTCGGGTATTGCTTTTAAGCTCTGGTTGCATATTTTTTTAAAATACACAAAGACTAGCCAGATATTTGAAAGTTTTTCATGCCTCCTTTCTGTGCATCATAACTCTCTTGAAAGTTTTATTTACTTACCAAGCAAAAAAAGGAAGGAAGGATTTTATTTACAAGAAAATCATTGTGTGTAGGTTAAATATGATACAATATGAATATACAGTTAAAATAAATTCCTACATTTTATAAATGGCACCTGAATGGTGATACAGTTTTTGTACTGCTCTTGGAAACATCTTTATTCAGTACAACTACTTTGGCCAGTTTTAGCATGTAAACATGTACCAATAAAATTCTTTGGATGAGATAATAAACAAAGTTTGTGTTGTGCACTGTTATTTTGTAAACTGTACCATCTCCACATAAAAATTAAAAAAAAAAGAATGAAGCATCTACCATGATAACATTTGAAGTAAGAAAAGGGGTATGATGATAAAAGTGCTCCATTTACATCGTGGCTAGTTTTTGGAATTTAGCAAGCTTTAGCTCTGGCTCTGTACACTGAACATATCAGTGTCATAATCTGACACAGACCTGTCCAGTATTTGTACTTTTCAGACAAAAAGGAAAAAATGCAAGGAATCTCCATGACAACATGTCTGACAGTTTCTTCTCTCATACACACAGCATCTGTCATAACCTTGATTTGTTTCTATCTTAAAATCATAGTCGATAAGGAAGTGCTGTCTGAGTTTAAAAAGCATCTATCATATGCTATGATGGGGTGTACTTTGACAGCAGTGTTTACTTTGACAACAGTTCAGTTAACCACAACAACAATGGTTACCATGACAACAGTGTTTATCATGACAACAGTTCTATCTACCATGACAACAGTGTTCATCTTGGCAACAGTTCAGTTAACCACAACAACAATGGTTACCATAACAACAGTATTATCATGACAACAGTTCTGTTTACCATGACAACTGTATTTGTCCTGACAACAGTTTTGTTTACCATGACAACAGTGTTTATTTTGACAACAGTTCAGTTTACCACAACAACAATGTTTACCATGACAACTGTGTTCATCCTGACAAGAGTTCTGTTTACCACATAAACACTGTCTACCAAGAAAACAGTACTTTCCATGACAACAGTGTTTATCTTGGCAACAGTTCAGTTAACCACAACAGCAATTTTTACCATGGCAACAGCAGTGTTTATCTTGCTATTATTTACTAATGTATCAATGTAAGTTCCAAGCATCTATCATACAGTAAGACTAGGTGTACCATGGCAATAGTGGTTACCATGGCAACAATGTTTACTATGGTAAGAATGTTTTGTGACAAAAGCTATACAAGTAAGTTTTTACAGTATCTATCATATGGTGTCGAGGGCCACTGTGTACCATATGACAACAGTTTTTACCATAGCAATAGTATTTTGCCTTCTGTTGATGTTTAAACTATTTCTTATTTGTTTGATGTTTTCCTGAAAAGGAAAGTATCCATCTCTCCAACTGCATGCTTTATTGATGTCTCAATGAAATAATAACAAATAGGTATCAACTATGGAAAAGACAAACTCTAAATCAGTTGACATTTCAAGTTTGATACATCACAAACCAGCCGTTAAGCTATTAAGGTAAACATTCTAAAAACTACGTTATTGCAATCAAATCTTCTGCAAAAATTGAAGTTTATAGTTTGATATGGGAAAATTAAAATGTTAAAATGAAGTGGGACTGGAAAGTTTTAAATGTCCACTAAGATGACATTATAGCATTTTTCAGTTTTTCAAAAGCAAATGATCAAGAGAAGATCCCTTGATACAGAATATGTGAATGATGAGGTGAACACATGATTTAGTAAGTATCAGGTCAATATAACTTATCGTGAAAATCTTCAACAACTCCCAGCACACCAGCTGATCACGATACTGCAAGCTGGGGAGGATGAGAGAGATATTAATGTTTTTGATATGTCATGTTTTGTTTCATTTATTTACTATACAGAACATAAAACTCATGCAAACATCTAAAAGGAATCAGTATAAACATCACACAAACAGTACCTCATCTTGGTCAATCAGGAGCTTAACAAAATAAAAATGCTAAACCAAAGAATAAGACAAACCAAACAGCATGGGGATTCTGAGGGGAAACGAAACAGTAGCAAACAGACACAGCTAGGACAACACAGATGAGAGGTGAGAGAAGAATTACCGGCATAGCCCAACACTAGGTTTTTGACATACAAGACCATGGTATAGGGCACGGGTATATAATCTGAAAAGAAATTTATACACAATGATATGGCAGTGATCAATAGTGGACAGATGATGTGCTGTTTATCATAATAAAACACTGATATGATCCTGACTTATATCAAAGATACAGCACTTATATGATTTTGTCTATCTAGAAAAAGCACTTAAATGATCCTGACTACAGCACTTATATGATCCTAATCCGACAAAGCACTTACTTGATCCTGATATAGCACTTACAGGATACAAACTAGAATAAGCACTAACATGATCCTGATTACATATATAGAACATTTACATGATCCTGATTATACATATATAGAGAACACTAAAATGCTCCTGATTACATTGAGCACACAAGTTTACAAGTTTTAAGCTGAAACTGTGCAGTGTCTAGCCATCTAATATAGCCCTTCAAAACAAGGAAGAAAGTGTGTCTTGAAGGGTCATCAAGGAAAAAGACATTACAATTTTATGGTATAGTGATTCCATTTGTATTAGATAATGTCCTGTATTACTGTATTATGTCTGAGCAAAATTTTGATCACATTGTATCCAGTAAATACCTATTTAATTATAAAAAGATAACGTGATTCTAGCATTTTTCACAATGAGCAGGTAATGGTTACACCATTATCTGAGGCTGACCTCACAGTTTTAAGTGGGCTGGTAACACTGATTGTACTATAGCAAAATATCTGCATGTTAACTAATACAGTGCAATCAGTTATGAGATTTCTACTTCTATCTTTATCACCATATCTGTTATAGAAATATTAACATGTTTTTCAAACTTTTCAAATGAAAATTTATTTCTTTCCGTCTAACTCCCACAATTCTGTGATTGGTTTAAAAAACATTTTGATGTATTCACTTATTAATTTAACCAGTAGTAGAACAAACGATAAATTCCAACATTGATTGGCAACAGGGTTTGTGGAGCCGACAAATTGACGGTTTAACTTGGACCAACACCAAAACATTATTCCATACTGATTCTCTGTCCAAGAGGCTATTCTAGTATGTCCTTCACCATGCTCTCTAACCCTATCATTATATATACTTAACAATCACCTTAACAAGCCAATCAAATAGAAAGGCCACCAAATAAGGTAACCAAACTAATTTGTAACCAAATTAGGCAACATTACAAGATGGTAATGGAACTGAGACTATCTATTATAACTGGTTGACCTATATATCAATAAAAATAGTCAATGTTCCAAATCATGTTATATACTTAATAATTAGTCGTTAGAACAGTTAAATACTGAGACAAAGCATTGGCTGAAACAAGAATGGGGATCGCTTTCTCTGAAAACACACCCTACAATAAGTCTCTAGCTGAACGCTCTGTAAAGAGCCTGACAAGTTCCACCTTTGTGTTTAGTGATATCTATTGAGTAAAATAGAGATGTACATAAACCAGCTTTATCACCAGCTGGGAAATGATAATCTATTATAGTTCTGAAGCCCTATATACTCAATGATATAAAACATTTTAAATTATTGTAACAATAAAATACCCTAAGCACACCACTTCGACAGTGGAAGGGCAAACCATGGCTGCTGAAGATCATTTCTCAAGGTCATACATGTATGCTGACAATATTACTTATCTCCAGAAAAACAGCTTTCCATGAATAATGGGATGGTTCACAGTGCTACATATGACATTTTTTCTGACATTCTATCTAAAAATAGATTGCTTGCAAGCTCTTGTAAGGTGTTCATACTCAAAAGTAAAGTAGAGGCTGACACAGAAGATTACAGAAAAGCTGCTGAACAGACCTACCTCCAATAGGATTATCGTTGTCGAGACTGAGTTCCACCTGGGATCCACGTCTCTTTATTATCACTGTGTGCCACAGATCATCATCAAGTCTCTTTCTACCAATGGTGAGAATCTAAAATTCATTGAAACATTAAGAAATGAAATTACAAATAAAATTTGCTTTGGTAATGACCTTCAAATTCCAGTGGATCTGAAAAGTTGGCTTCAAAATTTGAAATAAAAGAGAATTTTGAAATCACAAAAATACATAAAACAAGGATGAAAAAAGTGAGGCACCAACATGACTGTCATGCCAGCTGATCACAGATATTAAAAAGCGAGGTTCAATCACTGATTGACGTGTCTACAGATAATGGTACTTCATGACCAAACACAAGCAGCCAAGACTGTTACAACATGGGCTCAGGTGTGCCACCAAAATTTTCTCTCCTCTTCATCAAAATCAATTTTAACCAACATTGAATTCATGACTTAAATGTATGGGCATCAAAAACAAAGTATTTTCTATTTTCTGGTTTCACAGAGATTCTTTTAATTATCCTCAATACCTCAAACATAGTTTGAGTTAAGGCTATCCATTGTTTATTTCTACAAAAATAAAATCAATGTTCAAATACAAGGAATATTTAAGAATTATCTTTGGGCTTGAAACAGTGAGAGAACTACAATAAACAAAATTTGAAAAAAAAAACAACATTTTGATTAAGAATTGATTTTTAATTGTTTAGTGACTGACAGAGGTTGAGCAAGATTTTATACCTAAGCTGTTCAATTTCACACAGTCATGAGAGAGAGATCTTTGACATATTTACATCCAATTCTTTTGTGATTGTCTTAAAGCAGTCTGTGAAATAAAAGCTGCTTTATGTACATATGCAGCCAGAAAAAGACAGCCGATAGCCCAACACGGAGAGAAAATGGAAACAGATTTCTAAAGTTCAAATCTAGGGGCTTTTCTTTTAAAATGCCATAAAATGGAAGGTTGCACTGTCTGCACAGTGGTAAGTGGTAGGCTAGGTGATTCAAATAGTATACGCTAGATGGCCATTAAACTAGCAAATTAGATTTGAACACAAAGAGTCAGCTGGAAAGTAATGCAGCAAAATGACCTAAATCTATCCAGCATCATAGACAGAAAGAACTAACGTCTGAAATAACTTTACATTGCATACTCAATCAATCTCTCTGTGACAGGAAAGGTAGTGGTGTACCATCAGGATTCTCCTCTGACCACAATCACAGCAATAAGTTCTAGCAAGCAAAGTGACTTTAAACCATTAAAATGAATTCTAGTTATCCCTCAAACAAAAAAAAGTGTGGATACCATTAGGATAAAACCTAAACAAAATCATAAAAGTACAAGTTTAAGACACCTAGATATAAACACAGTAAGTATATGACACCGCGAAACAATTACGATAAATACTAGACAGCATAATACCATAACAATAAGTACTAGACACCACAATACCATAACAATAAGTACTGACACCACAATACCATAACAATAAGTTCTAGACACCACAATACCATAACAATAAGTACTAGACACCACAATACCATAACAATAAGTACTAGACACCACAATACCATAACAATAAGTACTAGACACCACAATACCATAACAATAAGTACTAGACACCACAATACCATAACAATAAGTACTATACACCACAATACCATAACAATAAGTACTAGACACCACAATACCATAACAAGAAGTACTAGACACCACAATACCATAACAATAAGTACTAGACACCACAATACCATAACAATAAGTACTAGACACCACAATACCATAACAATAAGTACTAGACAGCATAATACCATAACAATAAGTACTAGACACAACAATACCATAACAATAAGTACTAGACACCACAATACAATTGCAATAAGTACTAGACACCACAATACCATAACAATAAGTACTAGACACCACAATACAGTAACAATAAGTACTAGACACCACAATACCATAACAATAAGTACTAGACACCACAATACCATAACAATAAGTACTAGACACCACAATACAGTAACAATAAGTACTAGACACCACAATACAGTAACAATAAGTACTAGACACCACAATACCATAACAATAAGTACTAGACACCACAATACAGTAACAATAAGTACTAGACACCACAATACCATAACAATAAGTACTAGACACCACAATACCATAACAATAAGTACTAGACACCACAATACCATAACAATAAGTACTAGACACCACAATACAGTAACAATAAGTACTAGACACCACAATACAGTAACAATAAGTACTAGACACCACAATACAGTAACAATAAGTACTAGACACCACAATACCATAACAATAAGTACTAGACACCACAATACCATAACAATAAGTTCTATCAATAAATTTCTTATCTAATATGACTGGTCAGACAGATACATATTTGATGTTGGATCTAGATTGGTATATATGTAAGCTTTGTCCATTGGGACATGTGTGAAGTCTTCATATGATACATGAGACGATGAATTTACAAAGAATGAAGTATGATAAAGTTGCAATTGTGTATTTTGGGGATCTTTGCAAAAAATGTACAGCACAAAAATATCCCAATATACGGTATTCCACACCATGATGTCACATCACCTATTTTTACTTGTATTTTGTTAAATATCATTTAAGCAAATTAACCTCTGGCCCAGACACATCAAGAGTGGTGACATGATTACCTTTGAGCTACTGCCCACTCTGATTTCTAATCTGACCAGTCCATTCTCCAGGTATAACGCTATAGAATCAAAGGACCGGTATGAAGAGGTCATGAAGAGTAGGCCGTTTGGGTGTTTTGTCTGGAAACGTAATGATATGTCCTCAGCTTCAGTGTGAGATTCCTTGTCCAAAGTGATCTTCATGAACTGGGCACTGTCAAAAGCCAGGGTTGCTGCCTCTGTAAGTAGAAAATGAATCTGATGAAAACCTCTAAAACGCCAAGGTTGAATTCTCTGCAAGTCTTCATATATATTTCTAAAATAGCCAAGAATTCAATTTCATTTCCTTGGATTCAAATGAGATTCACCTCAAAGATAACCAAAATATACTAAAATTCAATTCAACTCTACTTCGGTTGCATTTAAATAAGACCCAACTCTTAAAAAAGAAACTTGGACATTCAAATGTCATCAAGAAAATCAACAATAAGGATTGATTATTATCAAATTTTAGTAACTTTTATCAAGGCTAGAGACTTTTGAGTCAAGTTTAACATCCAGGTAACATGTCAAAGAAGGCATAGTCATCTTTGAAAAACTATTGCTTAAACAGTTTGGAAAGTTACAAAGTATGAAGAGATTAGTCTTCATAGAAAGGTGATCTACAGAGACAGGTTCATTTACTTAATAGATGAGTAAAGATTATTGACATTTTACTTAAAACAAATAATTTCAGATTGATTGAGAAGTGGCTGTTATTGACAGGTTTGATTGAGAAGTGGTTGTTACAGACAGGTTTGATAGAGAAGTGACTGGTAGCGACAGGTTTGATAGAGAAGTGACTGTTACTGACAGGTTTGATGGAGACATGACTGTTACAATCAGGTTTGACAGAGAAGTGACTGTTAAAAACAGGTTTGATAAAGAAGTGTCTGTTGCAGACAGGTTTGATGGAGAAGTGACTGGTAGCGACAGGTTTGATAGAGAAGTGACTGTTACTGACAGGTTTGGTAGAGAAGTGACTGTTACGGACAGATTTGATGGAGACATGACTGTTACAAACAGGTTTGACAAAGAAGTGACTGTTACAGACAGGTTTGACAAAGAAGTGACTGTTACAGACAGGTTTGATAGAGAAGTGACTGTTACTGACAGGTTTGATAGAGAAGTGACTGTTATAGACAGGTTTGACAGAGAAGTGACTGTTACTGACAGGTTTGATAGAGAAGTGACTGTAATAGACAGGTTTGATAAAGAAGTGACTGTTACTGACAGGTTTGATAGAGAAGATAGAGAAGTGTGGCTAACAATAGTAGTAATATGTATATAATGGCAGCATATACAATTATCCAGTGGTAAGTAAAACTGAGGGTGTAGACATGGGAATCAATACATGTACATGCAATGTCTCAGTAAGTACATGAACAGTATGAATTTGGTGCCTATACTTCTGTTGCTTTCTTGTCCTAAAGATTACCACTGTGGTATCTATAGGAAAGCTTAGTGTGGTAAGAAATGTCTAGAGACAACTGTTAAACCAAGAGACAGATTGAATTCCTTAAGCAACATCTCTCAATAGCTCTAACCCATTCAGCATAAACTAGTGTGACAGCACAGAGAAAAATTGATACAATGAATGCCTTGCCAATGAAACCACCTCAACTCATACGCAATGAAGAAAACGGCCAAGTATGAGAAAAATCTCTCAAAGAATGAAGTATAGAATGCTGACTAGGATTTTTATGCAAATAGTAATGGTGACCTTGATTTTGCCCTTTCAATCCCTAAACTCAGACTTACCTGAGATATTATGGTCTTTTATAAGAACGTAAAGTATGAATAAATCTCAAGGATTTTCCAACATGACATCCAAAACGGATCTAGGCACCCAACATTATTTGATAATTTTGACCTTAACCTCACTACTCTAAAATTAAAACTTGTCCAAGGCATTATGGTCCCTTTAAAAATGTGTGATATTTAAATAAAAATCTCGTAATGAACGACGCCACTCAGGTGCTTAAAAGGATGGTGACCTTGACCCTACAACTCTGAAACTTGTCTTAGATATCAAAGTCCTGAGCTTTTCTTTAGAAAGGAATACAACCTTCACACTTACAACTCTGAAACTACAATATGTCTGAGGTATTATAGTTCTTTTTAAGTGTGTGAATCTTTCTGAAATTTCCTGCAAAACATGAAAAGGTAAGAGAGCAGAAAAGCGTTTTCTGAAAATACTACCAGTGACCTTGACCTTGATCCCACAATCTTGAAACTTGAACTTTTCAGAGATATTATGTTCTTTAGGAAAAGTTTGATGGAAATTCATTTTACAATGAAGTCACACAAACAATGACAATAGATGTAATTGAAAATACACATGAATCAAATGCTTAAGTAGATATCCCGTTGTTGACATCATTGTGAGGCGATAACAAATGCAGGATATCAGCAAGCAATGTGTGGCTAGGTATAGTAGGGAACATTTACACAGGTTAGTCTGGAGACACTACAGTCATATACTTGTATTTTAATGTATGCTTGTATAAGTCACCATTACTATTGAATTGAAACTATAGTTTGAATTACAGACAATATTTGGCCTTGGAATATTTATGTGTCGACACTGTACCATTATGAATTGCAGGGATACATAAAACATCTGTACTGTTACCATTATTCACGTTTCATGGTCTTTCTTACAAAAAAATCATCCAACAATGCTTCAGTTATACTTAAATACCCTCGTAAATTTTTACTAAATACTGACAAAGGTAATTCACATAAATTAAAGTATTTCATTTATTTCATGGTATTTTTCTTTAATAAAATAACAACAAAACAAATTTACTATCGAGCTATGATTGAAGAGAAAAGAACGTATACTCAGTAATATCATTGTTTTTAGCGTGTCTATTCTCAGCTCTCATTTCCCATGTCTGGGAATTCTCGTGCTGAGAAGCTATAAGTTGTCATTAGCATGTCATCCAAAAGACTTTTCTTTATATAACAATGACCAAATCCCTGTTTACCATAAATATCAATAAGGAATTCTGACGAGGAAATCATCTCATCATTTTTTATTCTCGACAAAGTAAGTGTGGGCAGCAATTGACTTTAACATTAGTTCTAACTCTACATTAATCAGGATGCTACAACTATGCCAAATATTTCTATCTGTATAAGTTGATTGTGGTAAAACTAGACAACCTGTGTGGAACATAGGAAACCTCATTACTATGCCTGATTATCAATGTTTCATGGATTTATTGAAGTTGTCAAATAAGTGACCTTTGACCCTTTCACTTTGACCAATGACCTTTTTAATCAAGACATGATAGTGATTCAGAAATGTATGTTTGAACGAGGATGTGAAGCAAAAAAACCAGGATAAGCAGAGATGGGCAACACTATATGTTATTCAGATAAAAACCATTGCAGCTCAGTAAAATTATCACTTGTGTGAGAAATATCAGCAACTTTTCAAGGAGTTGTCTTTCTTTTATGAGATCTTTAATTGATCTATGTAGGGCAATGTGATGGATTTTGGTACCTGTTTAAACTACTGCACATCAAGAATCTGCTGATACAATCTTCACTAAACGCAGAGTGGAAAACTAATACAATGAAGATTGCTTTTAGCATGTCACCAGGCAACAGATAAAGCCATGGTTTTTAATAAACACAAATGACTAGTTATACTGTGAAGCTTATCTTAATTACTGTTACTAGTGCTTCACTATAGATGATTGAAATATGACATGACATTCCTTATCTGTGTATTATGTAATGGATGTATCATCACTGTCTCCAGATAAATTGGATTTTTGTACCTTTTTCAATTTAAAGATAACAAATTATAGAAAGAAGTTAGATCTCCATTACAAGTCATTAAACTAGACAAGACTTCCAAAGCAGGTGATAATAAAGTATGATCGAGTTTAATGGCCAAGGACAGAAGTGCTTGATCAATATCTACTTTAAGTGTTAATGGTTAATTGTCTTGGTATGGTGATGTATTTGTGTCAGGGACAGTAACTTTCTGTCGATATTCAGACAAATCATACAAACACAATCTGTACTTATGGAACGATGAATACCAAGGGAGTTAACAGTAAATATTTGAACTACCTGGTAATCAGTATTATTGAGATAAATATTACAAGTAGAATAAAAAATTCAGAAATGGGTCAATTACTCTTCACTGTAATGAAAGAAATGTATGTTTATAACAATAATATGTGTACAGAACAAATGTCCTTTCAATATAAAAATCCTGTGCAACATCAGTCAGTTATAGGGAGTCAACATCCTATGGTGTATTCTTCATTTGGCCAGGATCAGATGTTAAAAATCAATTAACATGCACTTCTAAATACAGTTATCTTTTTCATTTGTCTCTATCAACCTTAACTCAAATGTGATTTACTTGAGATAAATCTTTCAAGTAATTTTTAAATTCATCAAAAGTATAAATTGATTTTAAACTTTCACAAAATTAATGTGCAGGCTTCGGTAGCTGGCTCTGTCTATTTGATTACAACTATCACAATTTTTAGCATGATGAATTGATTCTGTTGGTGAAGCTAATTTTGACACATAGATCGATTGATATGAAAGTACATGCAATGCTCATTATGTGTGTATATATAGGTCAACAATATAATGACAGAACAAATCAAAAATACCTACAAAATAAGGAAACTCAATATATGTAACAACTTCCGCATGCTCCATAATGTCAGTGAAAAACTTAAATAAAATACTCTCCATCTGAACTTGATTAATTTTAATTTTAACATCAAAAAAAAAAAAACTATGATGCTGAAATAATTTTAAATTGGACTTGAAATAACACAGAAGCTGATAAGCTAGTTTGCTCAAACAGGAAACACTGTTGCTGAGGAAATTTACATTAGTTTTCCAGGGTACTAAACAACTGCTGTGAATTTGACGACTATAACTAAGACATAAAATTCTAATTTAATACCTAGGATATGTGATTCTCGTGTAAAATGTAGGTTATGAGATTATCATTTTAATACCATAAGATTCTCATGTAATCATCATTTAATCATTTAATTAACTGCCACCTTTATGATATCATCATTTAATATATAGAATATGAGATTTTCATTTAATGCCTATGATATGAGATTTCCATTTAATATATAGAATATGATATTCTCATTTTATGCTTAGGATATGTGATTCTCATTTAATGCCTCGGATATGTGAT